TGATTGTTATCTCTTCTTCTTGAATTGTTCCCTTGACAAGGATGTAGTGACTTTCTTTGTCTCTCTTGACCAGTCTTCATTTAAAATCCACTTTGTGTACAAATAGAATAGCTACCCCTACTTTTTTCCTCAGGTTCCTGTTGCATGGAGTATTGTTTTTCATCCTTTGACTTTCAGTCTATGAATTTACTTTTGAGTTAAATGTGTTCCTTGTATGAGGCATATTGTTGAATCTTATTTCTTGATCAATTCTACTTCTCTGTTTCTTTTGATTTTTGAATTGAGGTCATTTACATTCATGATTATAACTGATAGGTATTGACTTTTCCTTGTCATATTATTTTCCTGTTTTTGGTTTCCATTCTTTCTCCTCTTTTCCTACTTGCCTTGCCTGGTGGATTCATTCTGTTGGAGTTCATGGAGTTGTAGTCTTTGTTATCTTTTTCTAGAATATCCTTCAGACATTTTGGAGTGCTGGTTGGTGGTCATTAATTTCTTCAGCTGTTTTTTGTCATAAAATTATCTTATTTCTTGATAAAATTTGAAAGATAGTTTTGTGGGATCTGAGTTGAAGGTTGTTTTCTTTCAGCACTTGAAGTAATTTATGCCAAGCTTTCTTTGACTTAAGGGTCTGTGTTGATGTCTGCTGTAATTTTGAGGGGGTTTCCTTTATAAATGATCTGTTTCTTTTCTCTAACAGCTTTTAATATTCTATTCTTGTGTTTAATTTCTGGACTCTTGACTATTATATGCCTTTGTATAGATTTCCTTTTTATTATGGGTATTTGGAGTTCTATATGCCTCACTTATCATTATGTTAATTTCTTTTTCCATGTGGGAAGTTTTCTGTCATTACTTCTATGAACAGGTTTTTAATGTCATTTGTGCTATTTCCTATTTGTTCATTGACCCTGGTCAATCTTATGCTATTCTTCTTTGAATCATCTAGCAGCTGTTTTTTTTTTTTTTTTTTTTTTTTTTTTTTTTTTTTTTTTGGTAGTGGATGATGCCAAGGTTTGATCAGTAGCCAGACTTCCGTCTTCTTCTTCTGGTTTTTTTTTTTTTTTTTTTTTTTTTTTTTTTTTTGTACTGGGGATTGAACTCAGGACCTTGCACTTGCAAGGCAGGTGGTAGCACTACTGAGCTAAATCCCTGGCCCAGCTGTTGGTGTTTTTAAGAAATCTTTCTTTTTCATGATTACTAACCATAATCCTGTCTTCTACATCTGATATTCTGTCATCACACCAGTTCATTCTGCTATGCATACTTTCAGTAGAATTTTTAATCTCCTAGATATCTGATTAAATCTGCTTCATGAATTCCATTTCTTTCCTATGTTGGGCATTCATAGTTTTCATGATTTTCCTAAGCTCTATTTTTAAAATCTGTATTTTCTCTAGATTCATTAATCATACCTTTCATTGTGGACATCATCTCTGAAGTTATCTGAAAACTATTTCTGATTTGCTTTTTTCTAGAGCCTCATTCATTTGCTTTGTTACTCCTGTTGTTACCACTGAAGTAAGTCAGTGTTCTACCACATCGTCCCCTGGGTTTGCCTTTGGCTTGCTGGAAGTCTGGGATTCATGTCTTGCTTTCATGTCTTCTCATTTTCTATTTTTAAAGTTTAATCTGTGCATCGATGCTTGTAAATTGTTTGATAGGTATCTTTATTGCTAGCACCAAGAACTCTTAAATGAGTACTTCTCAAAGGTATCGTCCAGACATATCTGGCTTTTGGGTTTTGAGTCTGTTGCAAGGTCCTACCTCTTCAATTTATTGGGGATGAGAAATTGCTGCCTGTTTGGCCCAGCCCCTGCTTCTTTGGCACTGGTCTGTATTCTTTTTTTATGACCCTTAGGCAATCTCAGTTTTGTCATACCAGGAAGCACAACTGGTTAGAACAGTTATGTCACCTTGGCTCAAGTAGTACAATCAGTAATAACAATAGCATCAACACATCCTAGAAAATGACAAATTGTCATAGGTATTAATTTGCCACTTTTAACCATATGAACAGGATTTGTGGTTATATAATCAAATTTAAAATAAACCAGAAAATTATGTACAGTAACTATCCCCCAATATGGTGACTTTAACCTCAGGGGATAACATTTAAAAGGGGTTGGGGGGAAAAAAAGAAATTGAAGAAGAGAAAGGGATTAGAAGCAAGGTTGGAAGACAAAGGTAGAGTAAGCTTTGGGAACTTGTGAAGAACACAGGAGGGAAAAAAAGAAGAAAGAAACAGACATGAACAGAACAAAAAACCTACAATGTTCTCAGTCATATAAAAACAAGAACAATAAAAAAGGGGGGGAAGCAAAGAAAGGAAGAAAAGTAAAAAAATCATTCACTTCAGGATGCATTTCTGCTATCACTGGTTGACAGAGGGAACAGACAGAGCCCAGATCCATGTTGATTGATCCCAGCAAGCCAGCAGTAGAATTATGGTGATGGTGGATAATCCCAGAAAAACTGCACATTTAATTTCACTGAAGTTCAGGGTGCTTCTGGTTTCTGGCTGTGAGGCTGGGACCTGAGTTTTTCAGCCTACAACACTCCAAGTACCTCCTGTTGGCTTGAATTTGGCTCCCTGTCAACATTTTCTCTGCACTGATCTCCATTGGCTTGAACTTGGTTGTGCCTCACCCTGACACTTGGTACTGCTAGATGGAGCCAACCTGCAACTGCTCTGTTCTGACTTCTGTTGATCCCTTCCAAAATGGCTACTGGCCAATCACCCTCTTTTTGGGGATGTCCTAACCTGAATAACTCACCAGCCACTGCAGTCCACAACATCCACTGCTCTGTTCCACTGCTACATTTCTCCATGGAGTCCTCTGCAGTCACTAGTAGTCACAGTGCCTCTGCAGATTCAAGCTGCGCCTCCCATGCTGTGATCTGGGTTGCAGGGAGAAAGTGTCACTTGCTCCCTCCTTCTTTTGTACTGTGGTCCCTCTCTTTGGACTCCCTATGGGCTCTAATTCTTGCTTCACATCCTTGCTTAGTCCTCTCTACTCCTTTTTTTCCTCATATTGCTATATTCCAGTGTTTGGGTTCCAAATGTCAGAGAGGCTGTTTTTCTGATACTTACTATTCCATCATCTCAGAATTCTGCAAGAATTAAAATTATAGGATCAGAGGCAGAAGAATCCACAATGGCTGTCTCTGAGTTTGGAGGTGGACAAATCCAAAATTGCTGCCTGCACACTGTAGAGGTGGAGGTCCAGCAGCTTCTTGGCCAAAGATGGAGGCACAGAAAAAGAATGGTCAAGGATGCAGAACCAGTCAAAGGTCAAAGGCCTGGGAACTCATTGTAGAGTTGCTGGTGTGAGTCTGTCAGAAGGCTAAAGAAACTGGAGATCAATGTCCAAAGGTGACACCAAAGACTATAGTTCTTTCAAAATGAGTCATAGTTATATTTTTAATTTTGAGGGACATCTATGCTGTTTCTGAGAATGGCTGTGCCAATACATTTCCATTAACAGTGTACAAGGGTTATATATATTTTTACCATGTCTTCCCCAACATTTTAAAAACCTTGTCTTTTTGAGAATAGCCTTTCTAACAGGTGTGGGCTATATCTTCTTGCAGATCCAGGGGATGATTAGTTTTCTTCCAGACAAAAAATAGCAGGGGGTTTCCAGGTTGATGGGATGATACATTCAAAGGTAATAATTCATGACAGACCACGGCAAACTAAGAGGAGGTTAAGTCTTTGGCATGAGTGGAGCATTGAATGTTCTAGGAACATCTAACATCTTCTCATGAAGCTATGCTGGGTTGGTCATTTAGGTCAGAGAGTGAAGAGCCTGTGTGCTATGGGAAAGGGTGTGAACTTTTTTGTTGTGTCACTGAGGAGAAGAGAAACTGAGGCAGAGAAGATGGAATATTCAGAGATATCCAAGTGGTATTGAGAAGGCAGAGCAGGCAAGGAAATAATATTGAGTGTGGTATGAATGAGTGTTAAGGATCAAATACAGTGGTGCCTTGGTTCACAAGCAAAATAGTTGACAAAATTTTGTTTTTGTTTGCAAATTCTACATCAGGTGACAAAAACAAATGTGGCCATCTTTTCCACAATCATGGAACAAATTGACTTCATGAACCAAGGCACCACTGTATAACTCTTTGGTGGGGGAAGGTAAGGTCTATTTTAACTATTTAATATTTGTTTCATAAGGATTCTTATTTTTGTCAGTGCCCAGGATCTCAGAGAACAAAGAGATTTTTTTCCATTAAGTTTACTGGTACATTTAAAGCAAACAATACAGTTACACTTATCATTGGGATCTTGTACCTTTACATGAAGAACAAAGAGATTTTTTGAAGTCAAGAAATGAAGACTTATTCTTGGAAAATGGCCCACAAGTGAAGATAGCATGATCTCAAATGAAGGAAAAGATCAAAGTCATTGCTCAACAATCATTTATTTGATTTTAAAATATAATTCCATTGTTCTGCACATTGGTTTTCTTGTGAAGGGCATTCAGGACAGGAGAGCTATGAATTGAAGTTTTGACTCTTGGGGATCTATAAAGAGATGACATATACTTTCTATTTTATGTAACTGGAAACTAGAAAGTCACTAAATTGGAATGGGCCTAGTCAATTTTGTGATAATTGGTCAATGGATAGGCCCTTTGGTGAGGGGCAAGAGGTTGATCATGGTATATGTCAAGTGTAGAGGTGCTCTTTGTGGCCCCTGGCTTCTCTAGCCACCTTTCTGTGTGGCATTTTAGTCAAGACTATGCAGCTCATAATTCCTGGTGTTTTATTCACTGGAGCCAAAGCTCACAAAAGACCAAGTTTCCTTTTTTTGGCTGTAACATAAATCTTTAGACTACATTTCCTATTTTTGAATTTTAGGAAGAAGTGTTTTACTTTTCAGTGATCCAACCAAGATTCACCAGTACAGAGAGAAAGAATGATTTCAATTCCCAAAATGATTAAAATTAAGTAAATAACCACTTAATTTGCTACTTATATCACATCCAACCAGAAAGTCCCATATTGCTGCTCAAAGGACTGAATTGCTCTACAAGAGAATACTTGTCCTCAAGAGCATTCTTGAAGGTAGATAGATGGTAGAAGGAAGAGAAACATTTGCAACATTTCAAACATGATATGAACTTGATATATGGGTTTCTTCCTAGTCTTTGTGTTGCTTAGCTTGGGATCTCACACAGCCTAGTACCAATGTGATTTCTGCTCCTGTACATAGCCGTAGAAGGGATTGGGATGAATGTTAGCTGCCTTGGTAGGAAGACCTCCACCCTGTTGTTTTCTTTGATCCTGGGACCCCGTGTTTCTCTCTGTCTCCTCGTGGGTTTGTTGATGCTGATGATTAGAAACCTCCATGTGGGCTTGCCTGTCTTTTCTCTGGTGGTTCTGCTCATCTTCAGAGATTTGTCTATCCTTTTGTCGATGATAATGTTGATCTTTCCAGTTCTGCTTGTCTTGTTTCTGGTGGTTTTGCTCATCTTCATAGGTTTGTCTCTCCTTTGTTTGACAGCTTTGTTCCTCTTCATAGGTTTGCCTATCCTGTGCTTCCCATGCACTTTCCTGACCATCATGGCTATGTCTACCCCAGCTTTGATGACCCTGTTCTTCTTCTGCCTGGTGGCTTTGCCCCTTGTCCTGACTCTGCCTGGTTTGGACCTGTCTGTGGCTCTGCTCACTACTGTCTGATTGCTTGTCACTTCCTTTGTGATACAGTGGCCTTTCTTGTTGGATTTGTGCTAAGAGTTTGTGTTGGTGGTATTGACTGTGCTCCTCTGGCTTCCATGCATAGTAGCTGCTCTGCTGTTCCTCCCTAGACTGGAATTCCTGTGTCTGGTTTTGCTTTACTCCTTGTTCTGGAGTCCGTTGACTCAGTCTCCTTGACTTTCCTGATTGCTCAACATATGAGTCTCTTTTTGTTCCCCTGTTGTCTTGGAAGTATCTATTTTGTCCTTGTATCTCAGCTTTTCCAGTCTGTGACTGACCACAGTAAGAACTCTGTCCCTGTCTGTCTGTCTGACTATAGTGACAATTCTGCCCTCGTATGTCTGTCTGCCCATGGTGGGAACCCTGTCTTTGTCTGTTTGTCTGACCATAGTGGGAACTCTGGCTTTTTCTGTCTGTGTGATGATAGTGGGAAAGCTGTGCTTGTCCATCTGTCTGACCATAGTGGGAACTCTGCCCTTGTCTGTCTGTCTGACCATAGTGGGAACTCTGTCCTTGTTTGTCAGTCTGACCATAGTGGGAAACCTGTTCTTGTCCATCTGTCTGACCGTAATGAGAACTCTGTCCTCGTCTATCTGTCTGACCATGGTGGGAACCAAGTCCTTGTCTGTCTATTTGACCATAGTGGGAAACCTGTCCTTGTCTGTCTGTCTGACCATAGTGGGACACCTGTCCTTGTCCATCTGTTTGACCATAGTGGGAAACCTGTCCTTGTCTGTCAGTTTGGCCACAGTGGGAACTCTGGTTTTGTCTGTCTGTCTGACCATAACGGGAAACTTGTCCTTGACTGCCTGTCTGACTATAGTGATAGCTGTGGCTTTGTGTGTCTGTCTGACCATGGTGGGAAACCTGTCCTTTTCTGTCTGTCTGACCATAGTGGGAAACCTGTCCTTGTCCATCTGTCTGACCATAGTGGGAAACTTGACCTTTTCTGTCTGTCTGACGATAGTGGGAAACCTGTCCTTGACCACCTGTCTGACTATAGTGACATCGCTGGCTTTGCATGACTGTCTGACCATGGTGGGATCCCTGTCCTTGGCTGTCTGTCTGACCACAGCCTGACTCCTGGTTCAGCCTCCTGGACTGTCCATAATAAAAGCCTGATTCCTGTTGGGTGGTCTGATAAGAGCAAGGGTTTTGTGTGAGTCTTCCAGACTGTCCATAGCTCGATTGTTGTCCAAAGTTTGCAGAATGAGCATAATGAGACATCTGAGCTGGTTTCTCAAACTGGTTTAAGACAAAGATATGTCCTTGCTGTTTTTGCTGGCCACTGCTAGACTTATGACTCAGTTTGTGACCTGAGCTAAAGTCTTGATTTTTATAATTTTTGTCTTGTCTCTCAGACTGACCATGGTGAGAATCCCTATCTTGTTTCTCAGACTGACCATGCTGGGAATCTCTGCCGTGAGTCTCAGAGTGGCCAGAGTGGAAGTCTTTATCTTGTTTCTCAGACTGACCATGGTGAGAATTGTTATCCTGTCTCTCAAACTGGTCATAGAAAAAGTCACTATCTTGTCTCTCAAACTGACCACGGTGGGAATCCTGATCTGGTCCCTTGGGCTGACTATAGTGGAAGTCTCTATCTTGTTTCTCAGACTGATCATGTTGAACATCACAACTTTGTTTCCCAGGCTGCCCGTCATGGGAGTTCTGTCTTTCACTCGTATGAGTCTGCTGGTGTTGCCTGCCGGTGCCTCCTGGAAACTTACGGTCTTGGGTTACTTCATGTCCCCTTTCTTGCTGTGAGGTTCTCTCTCCACTTGCCTTAGTATCTAGCTTATGGTGGCAGGCTTGGACTAATTGGAACACCAACAAAAGGTATTCACGGAAGTCAACACATCCATTTCTGTCTCTGTCTAAGTGGTTCAGAATGTTTTCCACAGTCTCTGGGTCATTTGGCCTCTATGAGAAGATAAAGCAAAGAGCAAAATCAGATATTCTTCTATGGATGCCAAGATGTTCATGAATGTTTATGCCTCAATCCATTCAGACCCATATGGGCTTTCCTTGATTGAGAAACTATTAACCTAAAATGGCATGAGCTTGATTCTTGTCTTTAATTAGCTGGTTTTCAGAAGCTCATTCCTTGTTGGACCAATGAGAGCATGTTTATAGGGAGTAGTAGATGCACTTATTCAAAATCATCTCTATTAATAATTTGAGTCATTTGAGGAAGTTATTCCACTCCCTCATCTGCTATATTCTACATGTTTATTTGTCTACTTCTTTATCATTACATGGTGAGATCCTGGAAAAAAGGGGAAGCTGGTTTTTATTTATGCTTCATACTAGTAACTAGAATTGTGCTGGAATGGAGTAGGTGCTCAATGAATCATCAATGAATGACTGAATAAGTGACTGCCATAGAAGATGTGTGTCAGGCACTGAATATAGAAATGAAAATATTTCTGAAAAGTTATTCCTCATTACTTTGAATTTGTAGGAGGGAGGGGTGTGTGGGGGGCATATTTTAGGGGAAAACTCCTGAAATTATTTTAGTTACAAGATGAAGCATGACTAAATAAAACAAAACATGAAATCCTGGGTGTAGATGTCAAAATCAGTCATACTCGACTGTGTGGCCAGTGTCTGTGTCACTCACCCGGAGGATGTCTCTAAACTCGGTCAACAGCAGCTGTTTCAACTCCTTCTTGCACAGCGAAGTACAGTCTCCATTCTCCTTGGCGTAGTTCTGGAACACTTTGATAATACTGAGTATGCTGTTCAACAACTGTGGCATTGTGGCAAATACAGGTGAACCTAAAAGAAGAAACAAGATTTTGACTGTATTTGGGATTAAGACCAAGAGACAGAATTTCCAGAGGGAAAGTGACCTGTTTTGCTTTGAGAAAGGAATTTAAGAAATGACAGAGGGCCCCCCTACTTTTTTTTTTTTTTTAACCTGTGCTCTCATTTTGACGCACAGTAAGGCTCCAAAGGAGGCTTTGGCGGTGGGTGATTGAGGGTGGGTGGGTACAAACTGCTAGAAAAAGAGTCAACTTCATTTAAAAAAAAGCCAAAAAGATGTGTGGTAGTTGTTTTTTGTGTCCTATCCTGTACTCTGGGTGAAACTTGTTTGATGGAAACTCTCATATTAGAACCAGAAAGAACGGCCAGGAAGCCTGTAGAAGCATGGGCAGAAACCAGCATGGAAGGTCATAATTTTCTACCAATGAGTAGCTTACTGGGCCCTGAATAGATCCCATTGAACAGCCTCAGTTTTCTAATGAGTCTTTCTCAAACAAGGAAGAAATCTAGCAGCCTCTCAACAGACTAAGAATGCTTTCTGAGTGGCTAAATTTTAGCAAGTGCTACTGGCCTGGATGGTCATTTTGGGACCTGCTTGGGACAGCAAATGTGGAAACTGTTACAGATTAAAATAGTAAGTGGATATGTAGCCAAATTAACTACATAGATGATAACACCATAAGTGATGACTGAATATACAGTTAGGTTCACACTGGCTGTACAGGGCTGGCATCTTTCGGGATTTGTATGTCAATGATTTTCTTCTTGAGGTATGAATATTCCAGGTGCTGGACGCCAAACTGAAGCCCTAACAGCAGAGCTCATCGAGCCTCCAAAGGTGTAAGTGATGCCTCTAAGGATAAGTAGCAAATAACGAACTGCCCTGGACAAGCTGGGTCCTTTGTGGCAATACATTGCAATGAGATTTGAGTGTTTCTGAGTCTGCATGGCACAGAGCCCTCCAGCTCACAAGCCCTGAACTCCCGGGTCTTGCACAACTTGCAGAAAAGTTAAATATCCTGCTACAGGAGACTCAGCGACCGACAATACTCCCAGCCCCTTCTTTGGGATTCCTAAATAAAACTGAAGCAAATGCACCTATCTTTTCCGAGCTTACTTGTAAGCCACCTCCACAATCACTGTCTTCTCAGAGGAAGCCTGGAAAATGAAGCGGAAATGTACCCAGTGCCATCACCTGCAGGTCTCAGACCTTCCCAGCCCAGCACATTCTATCAAGAGCTTTGCAGATGCTGCCACTGCAGCCTCATGTATGTCTTACCTGCTTGAGCAGGAGTGAGCAGAAGATCCAGAAGTCAGAGAGGATGCAGGAGACCTGAAAACTCATCTATTTATACGAGTTTAAATCGTCCTACGAGGACATCCCGGGAGACGCCCATTCTGTGGCAGAGCCTGAGTCACTTGGGGCCCAACCCAGCTCAGCTCAATTCAGCCAGATTAACCTCTCCCTTTGCAAGCTCTTCCATTTATTTACTTCCTTCACTTGCTCATGAACCTGTTTGTTGCTGGAGTAGGTGACTGGTCAAGTCCTGCCCCCACTTAATTAGGGGACTGTGTGTACCTGTATGCATTCGGCTGTGGGGGTCCCAAGAGACCGAGGACAGCCTGAATTCATCCTTTTTGTTGCTGTTGTTTTTTGAGACAGGGTCTCACTATGTATTTGAGACTGACCTGGAATTCACTGTGTAGGCCTGGCTGGTCCCGAACTCACAGTGATCCTTCTGCCTCAGCCTCCCGAGTGCTGGGGTCTGAGTTCAACCTTAATAAATGTCATTTGCTAAGGCTAATGAGGAACAATGGCTAAGTCCCACCAAAGAAAGCTATCTATATGTTCACAATACAAAACTTATCAAAGTGGAGATTGTAAGTCTGTGTAATTTGGCTAGAATGTAGATCCTGGAAAACACTTGTCTTAGAAGAGTGGGAGACTGACACATAATCAATTTTGGGGTGATGTTAGGGGCAGTGATGATTGTGGAACTGCCACCACTTGATTATTTTACGTCTTATTAAAAAGTTGGAGTTCAGAGGCACATTGGAAGCTTATGATATCTGTGAGGTAAAGATACGGTTAGAGCTTGTCCTCAATTTATCCTCCATCTCTATACTCATGAAATACCTGCCCAGTGTCCTGAAACAGAAGATTCTTAATAAATGCTTTGGGTAAGTGGGTTATTGAATTATGGAAGCACTGGAGAATCTTGTATAAGGTGCAAATAATTCTAGAATCACATGTATTTTCCTTTTGTGTTATATTAGGTCCCTGGTTGGATCTTTCTTTATGTTTCCATCAACCAATCAGCTGTCAGTAACAACAATTGCTGGTCAGGATTTTGCAGGGGAATCACAAAAGTGCAGAAAGATTTCAGTGTAAGGTGGGAGATTTAGCTCAGTGGCATTGCTCCTGCCTTGCAAGCCCAAGGTCCTGGATTCAATCCCTGGTACCAAAAAACAAATAAACAAAGATTTTAGTCCAATTAGAGTAAAGAAGTTTCATGTAGACAAAGATTTTGAATCCTAGGGGTAAGACGTACTGAGTGCTGAGCATTAGAAGACCCAGGTGCCTGTGGAGCCCTCACAGGCTGGGCATGAGCTTCCATTAGAAGATGAAATTCATGGTTCCTCAGATTATTCAGGTAGGCAGAGAAGAGAGAAAAGAAACTCTGGGTGAGAAGGGAAAGACCAAGGCACAAAGGTGAGAATTTACGTTGTGTTTGGGTTAGGGTGAGCTGGCAGGTCTGGCTAAAGCACAGAACATATAGAAGAGGAGAATTAGAGAATTTTGGAGGTGAAAGGAGGAGAAATTTAGTCTTAGCATCTTAATTGTACAGAGAAGGGAAGCCACTTCTGGTTAGACACTAAGCTGTGATGGAGGCACACTTGTTTTCTGTCCTCAGCCCAGTATTCTTTCTTATACATTCCTTGGTGCACATTTAGGTCTTATTTTAAGGTTTATTTTAGTAAAGCATGGGTCCTTTTGATCAGGAGAGCGACGTGATTGAAGTATCATTTGGGGAAAGATTTTGATGTGACTGCAGTAGGTGGCCAGCTGTCTCAGTTTATCTGGGATGAAGGGATCTCCCAGGCCATGAGATTTTCAGGGCTAAAACTGGGAGAGTTCTGGGCAGCCTGGGACAGACTGGTCGCCCTTGACTGTGGTGTACAGGCTGAACTAGAAAGAAGAGTGTCGGAACAGGGAAAACAGTTAGGAGTGTATTGTGTGGCTTGGGTTCAAAGGGAGACTTTGAGCTGGATGTAGCAGATCAAAACTAGAGGAAGGTGTTTAGATGTGTAGATGGAAAAGCTGTGTCTGGGGGCAGATCAGATGAGGATCAGAGAAAGGGAGGATGTCAGGAGAGACTCCAAGTCTTAAAGCTCAGATAACTGCAAGAACCGTGGTGTGCTGAAGACATGTAACTTCTAAATGGGGTCTGTTGGGGCCTAAGACACAGTGCCCCACCCCCATGGCATTCCACAGGCTTTCTGCCTGTTCAAGCCCTGCTACCTTTGCTCTAGCTTTCAGCTTGTGCCCTCCAGCACTGGCCAGGGGTTGCTTATGTCTGTTCGTAAATCCTGAGAATTGGGTCATGCTAAGATTATCTTTCTGCTTGCGCATCTCTACTTAGTGCTGTTCAGTTATGTCCATTCTCACCTACTAGGACTGAAGATTTAGAGGAGGTGTGGTTGACATTAGAGGTAAATGAGAGGAATGGTGGGGACTGATAGGGGCAAAGATCACAGCCCATGGTAGAGAACAGAAATGCTCTGGCTGCTTTCTGTTCCAAGGCTCCCTAGCAACTTTCTGTTTGGTTAGATGGGCAATTCTTTTTACCTGATGCTGCAGTGGGGAAAATCATGGTTGTAATAGTAAGATCTGCTGTGTGTGCATTCATTTAACACTTAGTAAATTCCTCTAGGAGGATCAGAGAATGGTGTTGATCAGACATTCAGTGAATCAGTGGGTATTTGAGAGTGAACAGGAGGCCCTTTTGTAGGCACTGAGATAAAAGTCAACCCTTGTTTTTGAAGACCTCAGTCTCATTGAGTGGAGGATATACAGGATCACTCTCTGCGGTTCAAATTCCTACACAGGTGTTACTGTCATTGACAGGGTAGGCAGAGGTTAATAAAGGGGAGGAGAGGTGCAGTCAGGGCCTAGAAATAGTACATACTGCATTGAAGGAATCATGGAGTGTACTGGGTTATTTGGGGCAAATCATTTAGCTTTCCAGCCTTGGGTTTCTCCATCTACAAAAGGACAAGTTTGGAACTTTCTTTTGGCAGTAACATTTTAAGATTCTTTGATTCCAGTCTTAGGGCTTAGCAGGGGTTTTAGAGGAAGTGTTCTAGCTTTGTCCTATTCACAAATTTGATGAGGTCCCTAAGATTTTGTGCTTCCCAACCTTCCTGTGTAGAAAATGAAGAAGGCAACCGTGGCTGCTCTGTTACTTCATTAGCATTTGGAAGTTGTGTGAAGTTCACATTATTTCTGATCATTGATGCTTTTAATGCAGTTATGTTGGAGTGTGGCCTTGTGATCTCAAAGGCAAGTGGTTTTTAAATGAATTTATTGAGGTCTCATGTGCTAGACTCTGTGTTAGTTTGTGTGTGTGTGTGTGTGTGTGTGGAGTTGGGGATTGAACCTGGGACTTTCAAACTGAGCTGCATCCCCAACCCACATTTCTTTAAAAAAAAATTTTTTTTTAAAAATTTTTGAGACAAGTCCTTGCTAAGTTCCCTAGGCTGATCTTGAACTTTGGATCCTCCTTCCTCAGCTTCCTGGAGCTCTGGGATTACAGCTATGTGCCACCATGCCCAGCTACGTTAGGTGTTTTATATATGTTATTCTGTTTAATTCTCAGAACAAACCATGAAAGGGAATATAATATGCATTCTTCAAATATGGAAACTGAGGGTCAGAGGCAGCTGGATAGCTTCCTCGAGTTCTTGCAGCCTTCAACTGGCTGAGCTGAGGTTTGAACTCATGTCTTCCTCATTCCAAAGCCCTCGTTTGCAGCCCCTATGTTATTCTGCTTCTTGCAGACCAGAGCTGATAATTGCCCCTTCCTCAATGACAGAAATACCGTTCCACATAGACTGA